TGTATGTTTATTGATGATCCAACAGATCCAGACGATAATAAACTGACTGACGAACCAGAATCTCTGCTGCTTTCTGGGTTTTTATGACACAGAGTTTTAGTGATTGGATCACAGAAGGTTCCTGATCTTCACACAACTGTGTGTAGATAGAAGTAGTGCAGATAGATCAATAAATCAGGACGAGCCTTTCATGATAGTTCTATAAACTGTGGTTCTGACTGGTCCAAATGCTGCTGTGGGAAGATTACATCAATATTCAGACCAGTCACGTGTCTAACTACGTCTATTAAATAAGCACCGAGCTGCCTGGATTATTTTTATTTTTTAATAAAATCATTTTTTTGTTCATGATTTATGTTTAATTCTCGTCTTGAACATTTATTTCTTCTCGTCCTGGATTATTTTTAGTATTTTTCGTGCGCGCACACTTGTCGACGGTCCCCGGGAGTGACGTCACAGCCTAGCAACCGCTTCGGGAGCGGAGGGAGGAGGGGCCCCGGGAGGAGGGGGAGGAGAGACGCCGGTATCTCCGGGACGTGAAGCGCCACACAGCCGCTGGACGTTGGAGACGCTGCACGGAGCCGAACCACCGACACAGCGGACGGCAGCGACGGTACCGGCTGGAACAGCACCGGCGGCGGAGGCACGCTGCGACCGGACAGCAGGCGGCTCCGAACGGCGCAAGTTCGCGGCGGCCGCTCATCACTTTGTCATCAGCAGGAACCGGAGAGCGCAGAAAGTGAGAGGCACCGCTCCGTGCGCTCCGGGTCGGTCCAGTAGGGAACCGGTGACACGCTGAGGTTCGGACGCACCTGGCCGCTCCAGCACCGCCGGCACACCGGGTTCTGTTGGTCACAGCACCGCCGAGCCGAGCCCGTGGTACCGCCGAGGAGGAGGAGGAGGAGGAGGAGGGACGGCGCGGCACAAAGAGCGGAGCATCAGAGAGGAGGCTGCCGGCGGCACCGAGCAGAGCGCGGCGGCACCGGAGCTCCGTCCCCCAGCAGCAGCAGCAGCACCGGCACCGGTAACCACCCGCCCCGGGACCGCTCCGGTTCCGTGGGTTGTTTTGTTCTGAGCGTGCGCGGCGGTGTGTGTGTGTGTGTGTGTGTGTGTGTGTGTGTGTGTGTGGGTGAGGGGGGAGCGGACAAAGAGCGGAGGAGCCGTGACATCCGCGGAGCTCAACCTGCAGCTGGCGAGACAAAGGAAGCTCCGTGGAGCGGCCGCGTTCCGCGCAGCACCGGCAGGTCCAGAGGAGGTGCCGACCGGACCGGGTTCTGCTCCTGAACACGTCCGGTGGCGCTGAATTAATAGGCGCCATTATCGGTTTTTGATTGGCTAATTAACATTTGCATAATGAGCTGCTGGAGCTCTTTGTCATCAGCCAGCTCCTTTATTTACATCAGGAGGCTCCGGTTCTGGTCCAATTAGGACAGTTTTACAAAACAATTCATGCTTTTGTCTTTCTAACAACCAGAAATATGCTGCTACTATCAAAACATCCGACCTGGAGGGAATGAGAGCGATTAATCGATTAGTTGTCACCTGTTCAGTTAATCGGTACAGTTCTGATGTTGATTCATCTCTGATCAGCTCTTCATTCAAACAGTTTAATTTCTGATTGCAGCTTTTTGAATGTGAATATTTTCTGTTTAACAAAAAACACAAAAAAAACCTGATTTCTGACAACAAACTGAACAAAACACAACAACGACCAATCAATCAGCTAAACGATTAATCGACTGTAAAGCATCCTCATGATGTTGGACCTCCATCAACGCAAATCTAAATTGTTTTTAGGAGAAGACTTGAATGTTCCACCACAACTCGAGAAAAACACTATTACATGTAATTATTTTGATTATATTTGCTATTTTCCACTATTTTCTGTTGTTTCATTGATCAAACAACTCCTCGATTAATAGGTTGGAGTCACGTTTTTTTTCTTAAAGAAAAACAGAAAAATGTGAATATTTTCTGCTCCTTTGCTCCTCTGTGACAGGAAACTGAATATCTATGGATAAAATAAGTCATTTGAGGAAACACTTAACGATATTTTTCAAAGTTTTATCGACCAAACAGCGAATCGATTAATCGGTTGAAGTTTTTTTTCTCCTTTCAAATTGAACAATAAGTTCTGTGACTGAAGCATCTTAAATGTGGATATTTTCTGGTTTCTTTGGTCCCCTGTGACAGTAAACGGAATGTTTTCTGAGGTTTTTGCTAAAACAACAAGACACTGATTTTTCACCATTTTCTGACATTTTGTACAATAATCGACTAATCGATTAATGTTGACGACAATAATATCTGACTACAACTCACGTAAAACAAGCCGCTACATTTAATTTAATTTTATTTGTTTTGTTTTGTTTTTTGTCCCCCACCCCCCTGTCGTTTGAACGACCAAACAACTAAACGATTAATCGGTTTAAAAATTCTCTGATTGCAGCTTCTTAGATGTGAATATTTTCTTGTTTCTTTTTTTCTTGACGACAGTAAACTGGATGTATTTCGACAAAGCCAAACACTGAGTGACATTTTACACACTGAAACAACTAATCGATTGATTGACAACGAAACAATCGTCAGTATTGTTGGTGGAAAGGTGAAGTATTCTGTAGAACCCAGTATTTTTATTCATTTTTTTTTGGACTAAATATGACTCAAATAAAAACAAGCGATTATATTTAACTGTTTGATTTACGTTGATAGTTTTCACCGTTTTCTGTTGTTTTTACAACGATTAATCGATTAATCATTTGAGAACTAAAGTCTGAATTCTGTCAGTGCAGTTTCCTAAATGTGAACATTTTCTGGTTTATTTCCTCTGTGGCAGTAAACTGATTGTTTCTGGACTAAACAAGACAACAAATCTGATCCACATTTTTCACCATTTTAGAGACCAAACAACTGATCGATTAATCGATTAGAGCCCGGTTTCTGGTTTCTTTCCTCATCTTTGACGGTAAACATTGGAGGACGTCACTGATCAACATTTCACTCTACTTTTCATCATTTTTTTTCACCTTTTTTCACCATTTTTCAACCAAACAATGGATCAGCAGTGAACATACTCATGAGTTGCGGCTCTAAAGGGGAAAAGTTAAAATGTTTTTAATGTAGTTTTTCATATTTTCAGGTAAATAATGTGATTTTTTCCCACTGTTTCAGATTCGCTCAACGTCCTCTCAGGGATTCCTGATCCTCCGTCCCGATGAAGGAGGCCGACGCCATCAAGCTGTTCGTGGGGCAGATTCCCCGGAATCTGGAGGAGAAGGACCTCAAGCCCATCTTCGAGCAGTTCGGCAAGATCTACGAGCTGACCGTGATTAAGGACAAGTACACCGGCATGCACAAAGGTAGGCGTGGAGCCGCCGGGCAGATGTGTGGATGTGTGCAGATGTGGCGGCGCGTGGACGGATGCATGAATCTCTGCAGCGAGTGTCACACGTTTCCATGGAAACTGTCACAGCAGCCCTTCATCTCCCGTTAACGCTGCAGCGTGAGATAATGAAGACGAGCGAGCTGTTGAGCAGCAGAGCTCCGGTGGAAAAACACCGCCGGCTGCTTCCTCACAGCATTCACACAGACTGAAGAGCACGTTGGTGTTTTTATCAGCATCCATTATTATTATTATTATTATTATTATTATTATTATTAGGAGGATCTCTGCTCAACCAGATCTGATCTGACTGAAATTTTTGGAGCATAAAATGTTGATATTTATAAATTTTATTAACGTATCTGAGACATTTCAGCTTCATATTTCAAATGTTTTCTGAATTATTTTAAAAAGAAAAAAAGCCCTTTGACCTACTTTCTGCAGTTTTATTTTTTTTTTTTAAACAAAAATTTGATTCCGTCTGAACAACAGCATCTGAGGAACTGTTGAAGATAAACCTGAAATGTGAGCAGTTATTTCTCATCATGTCGCTGATCTAGAACCTGTCATTCTGAGTATTTTCTGCAGCAGAACTCTCGAGGCCATCGGCCGCCTCTTTTAACTCCACATTTGCAGAGAACTAGTTGAACATCCTGTACAGAGCTCACGTCCTCTCAAATCATCACATTTTTAATCATATTTCAGCACAACCAGCTCTGATGTGTCTGAAATGTTAAAAGCACAGAACGTGGATGTATATGAAGACATCTGTGAGATTCCAGCCTCATATTTCAAATACTTGTTAAGATTTATTTAATTTTTCAAAAACTGTTCGTTGACCTACTTTCTGCAGGTTTAAAAGAAATAAATAAATAGTTTGGTTTGAACAACATCATCTCAGGAATGATCAAAGATAAAGATCTGAAATGTGAACAGTTATTTCCCATCATGTCACTGAATCTGTAGTTTTGAGTCTTTTCTGCAGCAGAATCAGTTGACGTTCTCCAGAGAACATCCTGTACTGAGCCGACGTCAGCTCAGACCAAAACATTTTTAACGATATTTCAGCACAAATTAATATTTCTAAAGATATCTGTGACATTTTAGCTTCATATATTAAATACTTTCCACCGTAAACATTAAAAAAACAACAAAAAACCAGTTGATTCACTTTCAGCAGTTTTTATTTGTTTTATTTGAGTCTGTCTGAACAGCAACATGTGAGGAACTATTAAAGATCAAACCTGAAATGTTCTGTTAGTTCTCATCATGTCACTGATCCAGAACCTGTGGTACTGGACAGTCCCATCTCTGAGCTCATGAACTAAAACCTGATGAAGCAGAAGTGGACTCGTTAGTGACCCACATGTAGCTGGTTAGGGTTAGGGTTAGGGTTAGGGGTTCGGTCACTGCAGGTCACAGCAACACAAACTACACATCAGAACACTTTAATGTGAAATATTTGGTCACAAAAATGATCAAAACTTTATTTTTGTTGAACTTTCAGCACTGACTGAGCACAAAAACTAAAATAAAGTTAAATAGTCTGATCTGGTCTGCAGACTGAAAATCTTTTTCTAAATAAACTCAGGATGTATTTTATAATAATATTTGTAATTTTTCTGAACTACTGAGTCCATGTAAGAGATGCATGAAGGTAAAGTGTTCAGCAGTTCCTGTAAACAGACGTGAGCTTTCTGCGGTTTGTTCCCAGCAGAGCACCAAGCAGCGGATCCGTCTCTACCAGAACCACAACAATCATTCTGTTAAATATCTGGTGAAACATGGACTCAGACCCGCCTTAGGTAACTTCTAGCGGTGATACAGTGTGTGGAGGACGCGTGGAGGCTGTTGGCGGTGCCGAGCAGAGGTCCGGTGTGTTATGAGCCAGATTAGGCTGTTTGCTCCAATCAGTGTAATGGGCCTGTAAGCTGGGTGACTCAGGGGGACGAGTGTGTTTGGAGAATCCCCACGACGCAGTAAGCTGCTCTGAAAACCAACGACATGGACACAAGATC